ATATATATATATATATATATATATATTGCTTCGGCTGAATAAACAGAGCAAATCCATTCAGACTTCATCTCCTCAAATGCCTTCCTCTTTTCCCCAACTGCCTTTCACATAAACCATATCTGCCCTCACACCTTCCAAACGGATATTACAAATGATAACAGGACATTACAAATTTTCTTTTGGGAGGGCACCAACTAACTCTTTCGGGAATTCCTCCAGCGGCTGAAACACTTACCCTACTTCCAAGTACTACATGTTTAATTTTAATTCCATGTCAAGCCCCCAATTAGTTCCCAAAACCCTTCAGCTAGTCAAAATCTAATTGGCCTAATCAATTTTGCATCAATCTGTCACCCTCAATCTTATCATTTGGGGATATAAATGCAGGATTTTGCTGCTGTCTAGCACCATCAACTAATTCAAAAGGCGAAAAGTTTCTGGTTTTTAAGTTTTATTTATATGCCCGCTGATTGGTATGCAGCAAAAGTAAATGAAAAGAAAATATTGCCTGGATGCAACATGTTAATATGTGACAACAATATTCCCCTATGCCTTAACCACTCTTACAAAACATTCCCCCCGGAATTGGAAATCTCAAGAACTCACCAAAAGCTGCAAATACATGCCATTGTGTGCTCTGTGGAAGAACTAACTTTGGATCTTCCAATGCCACAACATCAAGTCCAGAGCGGTCTACACTATGTATTAAACCTTGTATCAACCCTCCTTTCCCATTGAAGAGCTCTACCCTTGCACATGCAATATGTGGATAATTATTAAAATAAAAATACAAAAGTGTAATATAATGCAACAAATCCCAATTTCCTAAACAAAATTAAACCTTTCATAGTTCCAAATTCAACGCAATATTCCAATTCCAATTAGTCCAGATAGCATGAAACATTTGAATAGTTCGTTTTACTGGTAGTACTAAATTCATTTTGAACTTGACATGAAACTCAAACGGATCTAATCTGAGGGTGGTCCTTGCTTGCTGGTTGAAATCCACATAATTAAGTATTTATGATCAGATAATTTGATTACATAAGGATAATTATTCTTCTAATACAGAGAGCTTAGCATCGACTCTTTAACAGGTGAAAGACTGAACTAAGGCAAGATACACTTGTCAATTCGTACAAGCTCTTTGGCCACATCAATCATATCTGGCCTTGCTTCCGTTTCCTCTTGCATGCACAACAATGCCAGTGCTAGGAAATCCTGCAGTTGATGTTGTGCTTGCTCATCTCCCCCGACTTCCTCAAGGATTTTAGGGTCCGCAATTGTCTCTATTTGAATCTGTCCATCAGAAACATTAAGTTTTGGATCTCTAGTAAGGTATTCCCACACATTTCCTGCATCATTCCAATATGCAGCTTGTCGTCGCATCAAGAATATAAGTAAAATCACACCAAAGCAATAAACATCAGTTTTTTCGGAAATTTGACAAGACTTTACGTAAGTAGGGTCCAGGTACCCCATTCTCCCTGTTGCGAAATCTTCTTGAACATACAATTGGTCAGGAGGAATGGTTAGGGACAATGAAAAGTCGAAGAGTTTGGGAACATAGTCATCGTCCAATAAAATGCAGTGGGATGTCATACGCCTATGAATGATGGGCCTTGGAAAGGCAGTATGTAGGTATGTAAGTGCACTAGCAAGCTGCTTTGCAATACGCAGTCTAGTTTTCCATGGTAATAATTCATTATCCGC